TCTCTATATCCATGGGTTCTGTATCTATGGATTCAACCAGTTTCGGACTGAAAATATTGGGGGAGGTCGGGTGGAGTGGCTCACGCCTGTAGCCAGCACTTTGGGAAGCTGAGGCGGGTGGATCACCTGAGGTCAGGAGTTTGAGACCAGCCTGGCCAACATGGTGAAACCCTGTCTCTACTAGAAATACACAAATTAGCTGGGCGTGGTGGCGGTCACCTGTAATCCCAGCTACTGGAAACGCTGAGGCAGGAGAATCGCTTGTACTTGGGAGGCGGAGGTTGCAGTGAGCTGAGATCACGCCACTGCACTCCAGCATGGATGACAATAGTAAAACTCCATCTCAAGAATAAAAAAAAAATTAGCTGGGCATGGTAGCATACTACTTGGGAGGCTGAGGCACGAGAATTGCTTGAACCTGGGAAGTGGAGGTTGCAGGTGTGATATAGCTGACCTAGAGTTAGAACCTGGGCAACGCCATTTTATACAAGACAAAGCTATTTTCCAAAAATAAGTTTGTTTTTTTTTTTTTTTTTTGAGACGGAGTTTCACTTTGGTTACCCAGGCTGGAGTGCAATGGCGCGATCTCGGCTCACCGCAACCTCCGCCTCCTGGGTTCAGGCAATTCTCCTGCCTCAGCCTCCTGAGTAGCTGGGATTACAGGCACGCGCCACCACGCCCAGCTAATGTTTTGTATTTTTAGTAGAGGCGGGGTTTCACCATGTTGACCAGGATGGTCTCCATCTCTTGACCTAGTGATCCACCCGCCTCGGCCTCCCAAAGTGCTGGGATTATAGGCTTGAGCCACCGCGCCCGGCCCCAAAAATAAGTTGTAACGGCTGCCCCATTCTCCTCGAAATAACTGCTGACCTTGGCATCTGTAAGTTGCCCACTATGGAAAGCTGCTTGCCTTTACTTATCAGTAACTGCCAGAAGTGCTTGCATTTGTTTATCAGAAAGTGCTGAAAAGTTGCTTGCCCTGTATCACCTCACCTTCTCCGTCCTAAATCCAGGATGTGGTTTTTCAGCTTAAAAACCCCGCTCCCCCTGAACTCAGGGCCACGGGTTGGAGAGATGCGAGTCCTCCATTCGCCGGCACAATAAACCCTGTAATTTGGCATATTTTGTCTTGGTGTTAACTTTCTATGCTCGGTCCGGTACAACACAGGGAGCCAATATGACACCACTACACTCTATCTAGCCTGGGTGACAGAGCAAGACTCTGCTGCAAAAGAAAGGAAAAAAAATAGTGGGAAAAAATGGATAGCTGCATCTGTACTGAACATGCAGACTTTTTTCTTGTCATTATTTCCTAAACAATATGGTAAAACACCTATTTACATAACATTTACATTATATTAGGTATTATAAGTAATCTAGAGATTTAAAATATACTAGAGCGCTACAAAAAATAAAAAAATTGGAGCACACCTGTAGTCCCAGTTTCTTGGGCTATCAGGGTGAGAGGGTCACTTGAGCCCAGGAGGTCAAGGCTGCAGTGAGCTAGAATCATGCTACTCTAGCCTGGGCAAGAGACCTTGTTTCAAAAAAATAAAAACAAGAACAAACAAAAAACAAAAGTATATGAGGCAGGGCGCCGTGACTCATGCCTGTAATTTCAGCCCTTTGGGAGGCCGAGGCAGGCAGATCACCTGAGGTCAGAGATCAGCCTGCCCAGCATGGCAAAACCCCATATCTTCTAAAATACAAAAATTAGCCAGGCGTGGGGGCTCACACCTATAATCCCAGCTACTCGGGAGGCTGAGGCAGGAGAATCGCTTGAACCCAGATTGTGCCACTGCACTCCAGCCTGGGCAACAGAACAAGACTCTGTCTCCAAAAAAAAAGTATGTGAGAGAATATGTGTATGTCCCATCCCATTTATGCAAATACTACACTACTTTATATGAGATACTAGAGAATCTGGAGATTTGGGTATCCTTGGCGGAGTGGGGGGGGTCCTGAAACTAGGCCCCCACAGATACTAAAAGGCAACTATTCTTTGATGGAGTGTGTAATGAGGTCATAATGGGAAAGGAGGGCTTTGTATGTCACATTAAAATAAAGGGAAGAGGGTGCAGCGTTGTGCCCCTGCAGTCCCAGCTACTCAGAATGCTGAGGCAGGAGGATCACTTGAGTCCAGGAGTTGGTGGCCAGCCCAGGCAACACACGGTGAAACCCTGCCTCAAAAACAAAAACAAAAAAACAAAATTAGAGTTAGAATGTACGTTTAACTTTATAAAATTAAAAAACTGTTAATTTTTTTTTTTTGAGATGGAGTTTTGTTCTTGTTCCCCAGGTTGGATTGCAATGGTGTGATCTTGGTTCGACGCAACCTCTGCCTCCAGGTTCAAGCGAGTCTCCTGCCTCATCCCGAGTAGCTGGGATTACAAGCATGCACCACCACACCTGGCTAATTTTGTTTTTGTTTTTGAAGAGACGGAATTTTGATCTTGTTGCCCAGGCTGGAGTGCAATGGCGCGTTCTCGACTCACCGCAACCTCTGCCTCCCAGATTCAAGCGATTATCTTGCCTCAGCCTCCCAAGTAGCTGGGATTATAGGCATGCGCCACCACGCCTGGGTAATTTTTTGTATTTTTAGTAGAGATGGGGTTTCTCCATGTTGGTCAGGTTGGTCTCGAACTCCCAACTTCAGGTGATTCGCCTGCCTTGGCCTCCCAAAGTGCTGTGATTATAGGCGTGAGCCACTGCACCTGGCCTTAATTTTGTATTTTTAGTGGAGACAGGGTTTCTCCATGTTGGTCAGGCTGGTCTCAAACTCCTAACCTCAGGTGATCCGCCTGCCTTGGCCTCCCAAAATGCTGGAATTACAGACATGAGCCACCACGCCTGGCTAATAAACTGTTTTATAGGGTTTTTTGGGTGTTTTGAGACAGGATCCTGCTCTGTCACCCGGGCTGGATTATAGTGATGTGATCATGGCTTACTGCAGCCTCAACCTCCTAGGGCTCAGGTAATCCTTCTGCCTCAGTCTCCTGTGTAGCTGGGACCAAAGACATGTGCCACCACACCTGGCTAATTTTGTGTGTGTGTGTAGGCGGGTTCTCACTGTGTTTCCCAGGCTAACCTTGAACTCCTGGGCTCAAATCATCCTCTTGCCTCAGCCTATGAGAACGGAAACCTAAATGTACTTCTGTGTTTCTAATGATAACTGGGGCAGTTCTCATCCCATAGAAGGCAGGATAACCCTTACTGATGCTTGGACTGCTCCTCACCTGCCCCTCACACCATTTTGGTTTATTGAGGGCATAAGGGGCTACGAGGGAGCCCTGGATGTCTGGGTATAAGGCCTGGCGTCTGCCTGAACGGTGGCTCAGTGGGTGGCCACTGAGGATGGAGTCTCCACCACCTGGGTTTGCTTGAAAATGTGACTCTTGCCAGGCGCAGTGGCTCACGCCTATAATTCCAGCACTTTGGGAGGCTGAGGCGGGTGGATCGAGAGGTCAAGAGATCGAAATCATCCTGGCCAACTTGGTGAAACCCTGCCTCTACTAAAAATACAAAAATTAGCCAGGTGTGGTGGCGTGTGCCTGTGGTCCCAGCTGCTCGGGAAGCTGAGGCAGGAGAGTCACTTGAACCCAGAGGCGGAAGTTGCAATGAGCCCAGATTGCGCCACTGCACTCCAGCATGGTGACAGAGCAAGACTTTGTCTCAAAAAAAAAAAAAAAAAAAAAAAAAACAGTGATTCTCGGCCAGGTGACGAGGCTCATACCTGTAATCTCAGCACTTTAGGAGGCTGAGGTGGCAAATCACCTGAGGTCAGGAACTTGAGACCAGGCTGGCCAACATGGCGAAACCCATCTCTACCAAAAATACAAAAATTAGCCAGGTGCAGTGGCAGGTGCCTGTAATTCCAGTCACTAGGGAAGCTGAGATGTAAGAATTGATTGAACCTAGGAGGTGGAGGCTGCAGTGAGCCAAGATCATGCCAATGCAGTCCAGCCTGGGCAACAGAGTGATACTGTCTCAAAATAAAGAAAGAGAGAGAAATCCCAGCACTTTGGGAGGCCGAGGCGGGTGGATCACGAGGTCAAGAGATCGAGACCATCCTGGTCAACATGGTGAAACCCCGTCTCTACTAAAAATACAAAAAATTAGCTGGGCGTGGTGGCGCGTGCCTGTAATCCCAGCTACTCAGGAGGCTGAGGCAGGAGAATTGCCTGAACCCAGGAGGCGGAGGTTGCGGTGAGCCGAGATCGCGCCATTGCACTCCAGCCTGGGTAACAAGAGCGAAACTCCATCTCTCAAAAAAAAAAGAAAGAGAGAGAGAGAGAGAGAGAGAGAGAGAAAGAGAGAGAGAAAGACTCTCAGTTCCACCTTGCAAAGAAGGAAGGGAGGGAGGGAGGGAGACTCTCAGCTCTATCTTGCCCAAAGGTAGCAGGGGTGGTTGCAGTAGGGCTTGCCTTCATGCTCAGCATACCCCAGCGTGGCCTCCAGCATCTGTACACATTTCTCACGCGTCAGGAAGGGCTGATGCTAGTCCTTGCCCAAGGAGGTCACTCGCTTGGCAGTTTCTCCCTTTGTTGCACTTGGGACACTTGGATATGGTGGTGCCTCATCTGGGGCAGTTGGTGGCGGCTGAGGTGGGAGAGGGCTGTAGGCTTGAGACTCACTTTGGGGTCTTTAAAATAAAGGATTTTATTATTGTTGTTATCATTTTTTGAGACAGAGTCTCTCTCTACCTTCCAGGCTGGAGTGCAGTGGTGTGATCTTGGCTCACTGCAACCTCTACCTCCCAGGTTCAAGCAATTCTCCTGCCTCAGCCTCCTGAGTAGCTGGGATTATGGGTGCGTGCCAACATGCACGGCTAATTTTTGTATTTTCAGTAGAGACAGGGTTTCACCATGTTGGTCGGGCTGGTCTCAAACTCCTGACCTTGTGATCCGCCCTCCGCAGCCTCCCAAAGTGCTGGGATTATAGTCGTGAGCCACTGCGCCCGGCCAAAATAAAGAATTTAAACCTTTAGAGACTTCGTGTTCATGCTTGCTGCAGGGGTCGGAGGTCAGGGCGAGCGTCTCGCGGGCCGTAGGAGCAAGATGGCGGTGGAATCGCGCGTTACCCAGGAGGAAATTAAGAAGGAGCCAGAGAAGTCAATCGACCGCGAGAAGACATGCCCGCTGCTGCTGCGGGTCTTCACCACCAATAACGGCCGCCACCACCGAATGGACCAGTTCTCCCGGGGAAACGTACCGTCCAGCGAGTTGCAGATCTACACTTGGATGGATGCAACCTTGAAAGAACTGACAAGCTTAGTAAAAGAAGTCTACCCAGAAGCTAGAAAGAAGGGCACTCACTTCAATTTTGCAATCGTTTTTACAGATGTTAAAAGACCTGGCTATCGAGTTAAGGAGATTGGCAGCACCATGTCTGGCAGAAAGGGGACTGATGATTCCATGACGCTGCAGTCGCAGAAGTTCCAGATAGGAGATTACCTGGACATAGCAATCACCCCTCCAAATCGGGCACCCCCTCCTTCAGGGCGCATGAGACCATATTAAATTATTTCTTGAACTTATTTTTCAGTCAGTTGTGTAAAATAAACTTTTCCTCCCCTGAAAAAAAAAAAAAAAAGAATTTAAACCTTTAAACTTTCTCTGAGCTGTTCAGCATGCTGCTGCTGCTGCTGATGACGATAACGAACACTTATTTGGCATTTACTGTGTACCAACACTGTTCTAAATGTTTCCACATATTATCTCCATCTTCGACTGCCTTTCACAGTACGTACCATTATAATAATTCCCATTTTACAGATGAGATAACTAGGGATCAGAGAGACTACAAACTTGCCCAAAGTTCTACTACAAACTAGCAAGAAGCAAAGATCAAATTCAAGCCCAGGTTGCCCATCCTGAGGGCCTTCTCTCAACCACTGGCCTGTATATCACTGGTTCTCAAACTTTTTAGTCTCAAGGCCCCTTTAAATATTAAAAGTTATTGGAGACACCAAAAATCTTCGGTTTATGTGGGTTATACCTGTTGCTATTTATCAAATTAGAAGTTAAAACTGGCCAGGAGTGGTGGTTTATCCCTGTAATCCCAACACTTTCGGAGGCCAAGGCAGGTGGATCACTTGAGTCCAGAGCTTGAGGCCACCCTGGACAATATAGGGAGAACTTCTTCTTTACAAAAAACTTAAAAATTAGCTGGGCGTGATGGATGACACCTGTGGTCCCAGCTACTTGGGAGGCTGAGGTTAGGTTGGAGGGTCACTTGAGTCCAGGAGTTTGAGGCTGTGGTGAGCTATGATGGCACCACTGCAGTCCGGACTGGGCAACAAGTGAGAATCCGTATCCAAAAAAAAAAAAAAAAAAAAAGACGGGGGGGCGGATAACAAGCCACGTGGGATAGAAGAAGCAGTATGGTTTTTTTTGGTTGTGTTTTTGAGACAGTCTCACTCTGTCACCCATGCTGGAGTGCAATGTCACAATCTTGGCTCACTGCAACCTCCATGAGGCAGTATGAAAAAGACAAGGAGTGGGATTGGGATCACCTCTTGCCTTAACCATTTATGACCCCTGTGGTAAAGGGCTTTCCTATGCTTAAGGAAAGGATTAACAGTAAGAAATCGGCTGGGTGGCCGGGCTCGGTGGCTCATGCCTGTAATCCCAGCACTTTGGGAGACTGAGGCGAGTGGATCACGAGGTCAAGAGATTGAGACCATCCTGGTCAACATGGTGAAACCCTATCTCTACTAAAAAAAAAATACAAAAAAAAATTAGCTGGGCATGGTGGCGCGTGCCTGTAATCCCAGCTACTCAGGAGGCTGAGGCAGGAGAATGGCCTGAACCCAGGAGGCGGAGGTTGTGGTGAGCCGAGATCGTGCCATTGCACTCCAGCCTGGGTAACAGGAGCGAAACTCCGTCTCAAAAAAAAAAAAAAAAGAAAGAAAGAAAGAAATCGGCTGGGCGAGGTGGCTCACACCTGTAATCCCAGCACTTTGGGAGGCCGAGGCAGGTGGATCACAAGGTCAGGAGTTCAAGACCAGCCTGGCCAAAATGGTGAAACCCCGTCTCTACAAAAAAAATAAATAAAAAACAAGAAATGCATTATATGTTAACATGACTTACTTTTTTAAATTAAAAAACTACATTTTCCAAAAGCAGAAAAACTTAGTGAGAAAAATGGCATTGTTTTAGCTTTTTCCGAATCTCTTTAATATCTGGCTTAATAGAAGACAGCTGGATTTTTTTTTGAGACGGAGTTTCTCTCTTGTTACCCAGGCTGGAGTGCAATGGCGCGAGCTCGGCTCACTGCAACCTCCGCCTCCTGGGTTCAGGCAATTCTCCTGCCTCAGCTTCCTGAGTAGCTGGGACTACGGGCACGCGCCACCATGCCCAGCTAATTTTTTGTATTTTTGGTAGAGATGGGGTTTCACCATGTTGACCAGGATGGTCTCGATCTCTCGACCCCATGATCCACCCGCCTCGGCCTCCCAAAGTGCTGGGATTACAGGCTTGAGCCACCGCGCCCCGCCTGATTCTTGTATCTTCTTTAGCATTCAATCTGTTGTGATATGTTGTTTTGGTTGATATATATGAATAAAATCCAGTCTCACACAGAAGTTTAAACAGTGAGGAGTGTTTCAGGCCAGGTGCCATAGCTCACGCCTGTAATCCCAGCACTTTAAGAGACTGAGGTGGGTGGATCACAAGTTCAGGAGTTTGAGACCAGCCTGGCCAATATGGTGAAACCCCATCGTTACTAAAAATAAAAAAAGTTAGCTAGGCATGGTAGCATGTTTCTGTAATCCCAGCTACTTGAGAGACTGAGGCAGAAGAATTGGTAGAATCCGGGAGGCAGAGGTTGCAGTGAGCCAAGATCTTATCACTGCACTCCAGCCTGGGTGACAGAGCGAGACTCCATCTCAAAAAAAAAAAAAAAAAAAAAAAAAAAAAAAAAAAAGAGTGAGGAGTATTATTTATTTATTATTTTATTTATTTCTTTCTTTGAGACAGAGTCTCACTCTGTTGCCAAGCACCAGGCAGGCTGGAGTGCAGTGGTGTGATCTTGGCTCACTGCAACCTCCGCCTCCTGGGTTCAAGCAATTCTTCTGCCTTAGCCTCCTAAGTAGCTGGGATTACAGGCACGTGCCACCACACCTGGCTAATTTTGTAATTTTAATAGAGACAGGGTTTCATGTTGGTCAGGCTGGTCGCAAACTCCTGACCTCAGGTGACCTGCCAGCCTCAGCTTCCCAAAGTGCTGGGACTACAGGTGTGACCCACCATGCCTGGCCAAGTGAGGAGTATTTTAATATCTTTTTTTTTTTTTTTTTTTGAGACAGGGTCACCCTCTGTCACCCAGGCTGGGGTACAGTGGCACAATCTTGTCCCACTGCAACCTCTGCTTCCCTGGCTCAAGCGATCCTCCCAGCCCCCCGAGTAGCTGGGACCACAGGTACGTTCTATGTGCCTGGCTAATTTTTGTGTTTTTGTAGAGATGGGGTCTCACCATGTTGCCCAGTCTGGTCTTGAACTCCTGGGTTTAAAAGCAATCCTCCCACCTCAGCCTGGGATTACCAGCAAGAGCTGCCACGCCCAGCGGAAATAGAATTCTTAGAGGTTAGTTGCAATGTAGACTCTGAAACTGTATCAATGAACTTTTTGTACTCTGTAACATTAAAATCCATTGTTCCTTCATTTTGTAGGAAACTTTTAGGGGGTGATGGACATGTTCACTGTTTTTACTGCGGTGTTAGTTTCATGGGTGTATACATATGTCAAAACTTATCAAACTGTACACTCTAAATACATACAGTTTATTGTCTATCATTATTACTCAATAAAGATGTTTTTAAAAAACAATCCTAAGAACCAGATTGTCCTGACCTATTCAGAGAAGCAGCATGGCATGAAGAAAAATGTGTGAGTTTTAGAAAACAACTTCCCTGGGTTTGCCTGGCACTTCTTAGCTATTCTTCACTGGGTTTGCCTGGCACTTCTTAGCTATTCCCAGTAGAGGGAATGTGATGGCAAAGGCCCAGAAACACAGAGAGTGCTCCAGCAAGGTCACAGGAGAGTGGAGATAGCAGGTGGGGTCGGGGGGACAATGCCAAGAGAAACCTGCAGTCAGACCCTGAAGGGTCTTGTCTAGGCCTATCTTGAAAACAATGGCGAGGCACTGAAGGGTCTTCAGGAGTGATGAGATCAGACATATGCTTCAGAAAGCTGACTCTGCTGCAGTGTGGAGAATACATTAGAGGGGATGGGGACTGGAAGGGCAGAGGTGCTGGGAATAGTCCCTGAAGGGATGAGTTGAGCATTTAGGGAGTTTTCATGGATCACAAATTTTTATTATTATTATTAATATTAATTATTATTATTTGAAACAGAGTTTCATCCTTGCTGCCCAGGCCGGAGTGCAATGGTGGAGTGCAGTGATCTTGGCTCACCAGAGCCTCCGTCTCCCAGGTTTAAGTGATTCTCCATCCTCAGCCTCCCAAGTAGCTGGGGACTACGGACAGGCACCATCATGCCTGGCTGATTTTTGTATTTTTAGTAGAGATGGGGCTTCACTATGTTGGCCAAGCTGTCCTCAAACTCCCAACCTCAGGTAATCCACCTGCCTTATCTTCCCAAAATGCTGGGATTATAGGCGTGACCCACTTTGCCTGGCACCTCAGCAATTTTTAAACTTTTTTTTTTTTTTTTAAAGACATAGTCTCACTATGTTGTCTAGGCTAGCCTCGAACTCCTAGGCTCAAGTCATCATTTCACCTTCGCCTCCCAAAGTGCTGGGATTGTAGGTGTGAGCTGCTGTGCCCAGCCAGGACTGATGGTCTTTAAAGGAACTCTAGACCACATGAGAAAGTTACTCCTCTCTGGGACTCAGTTTTCTTTTTTCTCTTTTTTCTTCTTGGACCTGAGAAAAGAAGGAACTCAGTTTTCTTCTTTGTAAAATGGGTACAGTAATATGTAACTTATTAGACTGTTGCAAATTTTATAAATGAAATTAAGACCGAGGCAGGAGAATCACTTGAGCTCAGGAGTCTGAGACCAGCCTGGGCATCAGAGGGAGATTCCATCTCTACAAAAAACAAAACAAAACGAAACAACTGCTTAGGACAACATGGCTCATGCCTGTGCTTCCAGCTTCTCAGGAGGCCGAGGCAGGAAGACCATTTGAGCCCAGGAGTTCGAGCCTGCATTGAATTATAAAACCACCTGCAGTCCATCCTGGGCAATAAAGTGAGACCCTATCTCAAAACACTAAATAAATAAGTAAAATCAAAAATAGGGCCTGGCGCGGTGGCTCATGCCTGTAATCCCAGCACTTTGGGAGGCCAAGGCGGGTGGTTCACAAGGTCAAGAGATCGAGACCATCCTGGTCAACATGGTGAAACCCCGTCTCTACTAAAAATACAAAAAATTAGCTGGGCATGGTGGTGCGTGCCTGTAATCCCATCTACTCAGGAGGCTGAGGCAGGAGAATTGCCTGAACCCAGGAGGCGGAGGTTGCGGTGAGCTGAGATGGTGCCATTGCACTCCAGCCTGGGTAACAAGAGCGAAACTT